AAAAAAGAAGAAGAAGATATATATTTAAGAAGAAGAAGTAGAAAATTATTTAAAAAGATTTCTTCTGTCAGTGCTGCTAATTGTCAATGTTGTTTGTGGGGAGGAAGTTATGTTACATCCTTTCTTATATTTTATGTTAGTGTTTGCATTTGTTTATAGTATTACCTATAATTATAAATATAGTTCATTCCTACATGGTGCAAGCTAGTAGTCCAGGATTTAAAAATAAAGGTATCTTTATTAAAATATTAAGGGTGAAAATAATTTTTTACTAATTTGAAAATCTTTAAAATGTATTGCAATTGCATATGAAATTGTATAATTTATATAATATTTTCTGAGAATTAGTTTGATTAATTGGTAGATAAAAATTTTCTATGTATTTATTTCTCAAAGTTTATAATCGAAACTACTTATTTATTACTTGTAAAGCACTTTTGTATAATTATATATTTTTCTTTCATACAGAACATGTCTGATGACAGTTTAGAATGGTTGGGTCAAATATTGTCAGATGTACAATTAGGACAGTTTTTAGTTCCATTACGAGATGATTTACAAGTAACAAGACTGGAACATTTTGACTTTGTCAAAACAGAAGATTTAGAGAATATAGGTTTAAGCAAGCCAGGTATAACAGACTAACTAACATATATTAGTGTTTTATTTTAAATTATACTTAATTAAACCTTAGGCGCAAGGAGATTATTAGAGGCTGTCAAAAAAAGACGTGCCCAACAGAAGAAAAGAAATTTAATAAACAAATTAATTCCTGTAACAAGTAAAACTCAAACAAACAAAAAGAATGAAGGTAATATATCTATTAGTGACTTTACATCATGCTTAATACAAGAAAGCAATATTTCTTTATCTGTAAAACTCGGCGATGGAAGTTTTGGTGTAGTTAGAAGGGGTAAGTAAAATCATTAAGTGATATCTTGCACTATTTAAGTAATTAGTATTCTAAACTCTAATATTTAAACTAAATTTCTAAAGGAATTAAGAATCACTCACTGACCATTGACCAACAACAAACTTTTTAAACATCTTGTATATTGGATTTTGGTCCAGAATTTGTCATGAAATTTCCATGACTATTTTGAAATAAAATTATATAATAGAAATTACATTTTCCAAATTTGATATGTTGACTATTTTGAAGCTGAATGGACAAACCCAAATGGCAAAACTATACCAGTAGCAGTGAAGATATTGAAAGCTGACGCACTAAATCAACCCGGTGTCTTTGAGGATTTCATCAAAGAAGTGCAAGCAATGCATGTTTTATGTCACACTAATTTGATAAGGTAAATTATTTTTTAATTATCTATTAAATGATTATACGGAGAGGAAATTGAGTATGTAAAAAAAGTATTCGAAGAGGCGATTACCTGATTTATTTTAATACAGGCCTTGCCTTTGAGATTTGTAAACTATAAACTATTACTTTTAATTCAAGCAAAACATTGCAATGAATGAAAATTTTAAAGTAAATTGCTGTATTGCGAGACTTGTCTATTTTTGGGGTCATTAGTCAATCCAAAAAGCTTAATGGTGACTAATAAATTTTCAAAAACAGAACGTAAAAGTTGTAGCATTATCACAAGATATAATCAAACAAAAGTAACTGACATTGATATTAATTTTTCCACAGGTCCAACTATAAAATACATGTTGGTAATAAGCAAATCTATAAAAGTAACTACAACCTCTGAAATTTTGTTGCATGGAATAGTTTTGTTCATGCAATTCAGTTGCTGCGACAGAATTACTTAGTCTGATATGAAAAATTTCATGGATTTTATCGCGGCAACCAAATCCCTGCAACTAAATTGCATTGTCAGATGCAGGCTTTTTATGTTTTTTAGCTATATCCCTAACCTAAGTTTCTTCTGAGTAAGTTAAACATCTTCAGAAATATTCTCAAAAATTGTAATACTTTGCGTCTTGAAAACCAAGCTATTTACAACATATAGGTTTAAACAAATTTTTCTTAAAATTATTCAAAGAAATAAAATATATATACTTACACATATTTATGTTACAATCCATATTATTATAAAATTACATATGTATAAGGAAACAAAAATCACATATTTCTATCCTATACTGATCATTACCTATAGTTTCAATGGATGACCTTGTTTCCAAAAAGTGGAGGCAAGACGTACTCCGTGTGTTTTGCGCATGTTCCATAATTAGGCGCAGTTGCATTCAAATTTAAAAGATTGTCACGGCATGCTCTGTACTATAGCCGATTATATACATATGAGATATTAAATCTATGTATTTTCACTGAGTTCACTTCAATTTCTAAATGTTTACTTTTCTACATTTTTCTTCTATGAGTCCTCTATCGATAGGCTCCTTATCTAACACATTATTTTACTATTTATTAATTTCAATAAATAACGTAAGTATCTGCATAACCTATTTAATATTTTGCAGGCTCAAATAAAATAAAACAGAATACAAATTTATATGCTTTTAAAACTATATACATATGCATGTTCGTAATTTTGGACATTTTTTAAATGACTGGTTTATTTATTAAACAAGACTTAGTATTTCAAAAAATCGCCACTATTCGCTCAAGCCGGGCACAACTGACAATCTTTTTTTTATAAAAAAAGTTCATTATATAATTATTTATTATAATGGTTTCTGCAGTTTATTTGATAATATAAAAAAAACATGCTATAAAATATCTGTAAGAGACCAATCCGATAATAATGTCCACGATTAAGGTGGCCATATCCCTGGCCGAGAAATGGTGAAATTTCTGGCATATTTAGGTACTGAAATCTTGAAAAGTAAAACGTGTAGAACAAAAGTAAGCACAAAAATAAAATCCTTGATGTTTTATTTATTCATTGTTACCATTTAAATTTACCCAAATAAAATAATAACAAAAAAAAGCGTTTGTAAAACATGCGTTTTCTGTT